TTACTGATTAAAACCAAATTAAGCCCGCGTTCTGCGGTTTGATTACAATTGCATTTTTGTCATTTTTGTCATTCGAATTACAGTTCCACTTCGGCGCTCTTGCATTGTTTGTTGGTGTCAATAAAATCGTATAAAACGCAATTAAATTCACATTAAGACACATTTTACAATATTATTTTATCAATCTATTTTTAGTAAAAATTAAAACGAATTTATTTGTTTATTACATTCACTTTTATTCAAATAATTATTATTATAAATACAATTGCAAGTATTTATCTGTATACAGGGTGTTTCTATACAATGTATCATAAATCCAAAAAGTATAATAATTCTATTTTCAAACATACAACAAAAATCGTATGAGAGAGTAGGTCCCAAGTATAAGAGAAGTTCACCAAGTTATAAGATGTCCAAAAAAAAAGCGTGTACATAAAAATACCTTCAGTCCAAAATTTCTTAACATATCAAAAACCCTTTTTACATACAATTTAGCGCAAGTCCAAAAAGTATAATAATACCGTTTTCAAAAATACAACAAAAATCGTATAGCAGAGCAAAGCCCATTTTAAATATTCACCAAGTTATAAGATGTCCAAAACAACGGCTATCTAAAAATACCTTCAGTCGAAAAATTTTAAATACATCCAAAATAGTGTTTTTGCACAATGTATCACAAATCCAAAAATTATATTGAATTGACTAATTAAAGATGCAACAGAAATCGTATGAGAGAGTATGGAGATACAGTACGTCCAAAAAATCTTCCTACATATATCCTCAGTCTAAAAATTATTAATTTATCAAAAATCCTTAATTCTATTAACTTAATACAATTTTTATTTCAATTAATATGCTATACTATAATGCATGAATCGGTTTATAACTTATGGGAGAGTAAGACGCATTTCAAATATTAACCGAGATACTTTATTTAAAATAATTAAGGAAAATGAAGTCTCCTTTCCAAAAGAAGCCAAAAATGTTATTATTTAAAAGGCAATGCGGTATATATAACAATGCTCCACAATGAACGTCTTTAGTAATCCAACGAAAATGAAGAAAATTGGGCTAAAAAGTTTTGATAAATTCACTATGTAGTCCTTATATTACACCACAAGTTTAAAATATATTTTAATTAAAATTTTTACAATTCTCTTTTGATAGTGGAAAAAGGACCTCATGTAATACAACAACATCAGTTTCTTCGAAAAATCTTAAAATCTTATAAAAATCTTAAAAGCCATCGTCAATTAAAAGACGTGCTCTTTCCTTAAAATTTCTGGCAATTCTCTATTTGCGGTAATTTATCAGAATAGACACTGGTTCTATATTTTACAGACTTACAGTTAAAGTTAATTTCAGTCGCTATATATACAAAATTTCTCGTAGCATCATTTTTTTATAAACACATTCTCAAGTACAATCAAATAAAGCAATGGAAATAAGATACATTTGAAGTTGTGTTATAACATAAATGATATTAAGGTGCGCTGATTCTGAGCTTGACATTTGGCAGAACCCGATTTCGATTCCTGGTACTTGCAGTCTCAAAAAAATTATTTACGAATAATTAAATACAAGAATTCTTTCCAAGACCACTGATGCTGGGTATTTGCAATACTTGAAACCGCTGTATGGTCAAAAATTCACTTAATTAAAATAATATAAAATGAATTTTTGTTGTTGTAGTTCACTACTGTTCGAATAAACCTCTTTATAAATGATATTCGTGATATTCAAGCGTTGTATAAGATCTTGCATTACGAACGTCATTCTTGAGATTTGTTTAAGTAGTATTTTGACGATTTTCCAAGTCCACTAGAGTCAAGTCTAATGAAGCTACCCATTTAATGGTTTTAGGATGCTGTGAAGTGTGTTGATTTATCCTATGCTTAACATGCTAGCTCAGAAACCAACTATTACTTTCGTAGTTTTACATCGATTCAAACAATATTATACGAGTACGACTTCAATCACAGCAAGCAAAAGTCGTCTTTATAGTATATTTTAATAAAGATTTTTTTGAACAAGTCACGCTTTGTAAAGTCGCTTTTTCTGATATTTAAACCAATGTTTAATTGACTGAATCAAACTCTATTGAATTTCAAGAATTAATTAACTGCATAATAAATAACTTAATGAACTTAGATTATCTAAATTATATATCAAATTATATGCAAAAAACTAATAATAATACAAAATTGCTACATTATCTATTAATTAAAATTAAAAAAGGTGATAATAAAAGCCACAATCCTTTGAAAATTTATTATTTATAATTAAGTGTTTTGTAATTATTAAAAATGTTTAATTTGTTTATATGTTTTTGTAATTGTATAATGGAATAAAAAAAACTCCATATTAATAGGCCAGATATTAGAGCTGCCATATATTATTTTATGAAAACTTTATGGCCAACAGGTCGTATGTGTAACAATTTAACGTACAAGAATATAACATTACATTATTTTTTATATAAAATAGCACAGTTTTAAATCCTTTAGAAATATATATTAACCAGCCATTGAATTTAACAGACGGAATTAAAAATATTTTAAAAAGTTTAACTTCCTTGAGGGACTTTGGAAAGGATGCGGAATGAATACGAATAAGGGAGCTTTGCGAAAAGCGCTTACTAGCAAAAGCTTTCAAAAAAAAAGAGTTGCCAAATTTTTATTATTAGTAAGTATCAAAAAAGCTTATGGAGAAATTAATATCAATACGATGAGACTTTTAGTATCCTATCGTATATATTAAATCGTACAATTGGCAGAGTGTCAGACGAGTGTTTTTTAAAATCAAAATGAATTAACAAAAATTCTGAATAAGCTATTGAAGATAAGTAAATTGAAATTTTATTATTAAAACAATACAAAGTTTATTAAGAAAGTTATCGACTAGTAAAGTTTTTCTAGTTTTAGAAACAATTAAAGTTTGGTAACTCTATCCAAAAATTTTTACACACATGACTAGCAGAATATTTTCATTTAAATCATGTGCTATCAAATAAAAGTCTATTATAATAAAAAAAAAAACAGATTATAACATACAAACATAGAGGCATTAACACTCGTTCAACCAAAGCTAAGACTGCATTTGGCATGTTGGGTGTTGAGCATTGAGTATTGGGTATTGGGTATTGTGTGACGTTCTCACCAAATTTCCACTCGCACAAAACTTAGTATTTACAACTCCAATGTAAAATCTGTGCTATTCTATGTTTGTGAGTCATGGAAAACGACAAGAGGGATTGATGCAACACTGCATCAACTGCATCATTGTAAACAAATGCCTAAGTCAAATATCAAGAATATAGTGGCCCAACCGCACTACAAACACCAACCTATGGGTCGTCACAAATCAATCACCTGCTACTGTTGAGTTATGTGCACACAAATGGCTTTAGATGAGACATTAGATTTCCGCAGATCTAATGAAAATATTGCATGCCAAGCTCTGAAGTGGAGTCCTCAAGGCAGCCGTCGACCTGGAGGCACCAGCTAGAACTTGGAGGAGGACAAATGAGGAAAAGCTAAAATAAGCCAATTATTACTGGAATAATATCTGCCGAGAATCAAGTAACAGAATCCTATATAAAAGGATGACCGAGGCTCTATGCTCCACTGGAAGATGAGTTCAATAAAGAGAGAGAGAGAGACTAACTAACTCATATAATATGAAATAATACTCAAATATTTATAAACTATAAAAAAAGGGTTATAAAAAAAACCCTCGCTCAATAGAATAAGATTCTATATGTATCTTATGGATCCATAATTAATAGAATATAATTCTAAATGTAGATGTTTCATATAAGTCAATTTCTCTACTTATATAAAATTATTGTTTCCCAAACTCACCTATAAAATTAGAGAATACAAACACACTCACTATAATTCAATACAAAGAACTTCAAAAGTCCATATCCCATATTTATTTCTCAAAACCTCAAAATGTTTTTAATAGTTTTTGTTCGTTTTTACTCATTTTGTTTCAAGGTCAGATGCTTTGCTTTGATTATTTCGATACATTGAAATGCGGTTTCGGCAAACAGCTGCGGGCTCTTGGCACTACAGTTTGTATTGAATTTGAACTTGACATTGAATTGAAGTTAACCGATGAGTTTCATATTACAGAATCTTAACAAAAAATTCAAAAATTTACAAATAAACAAGTTAATCAAGCTATCAATATACACACATTCAACATATAGAGCATACGGAATAAATATTTTGTAAAATCTTGACAAAGCAGATGTAATTTTTTCTTCCATATAAATAAGCAATTTGAAAAAATTGAAAATGGAATAAATAAAAATGACACATACGTATATATATTCTATATATTAAAAGTATTCGTAAGTTATAAGTAGAAATATAGGAGCAAAAACCATCTCGATTTACTGGAATTTTTGGTTATCCATACTTATAAAGTCATACTCACGTTAATCAAAATTGAGAATAGACTGTCAAACCTCTGTAGCATACCAAACATTGATGCGAATGATACTGCGGAAGTAGCACCTAGACGTATATTCATATCTTCGGAAAATTGTCGCGGTCAGGTTTAGATTTTTCGCTGAACGTCTATAATATTTGTCAGTTTCTTATCTAGAATTCATGGACAAGTACTATAATATTGGCAACATTTGGATTGGGTTAAGATCCAAATGTCAAGGAGAACGTATTCCCTTATTTTTACTAAAGAAATTTAAGGCCTCTTGGTTCTCTAGTTTAACCAATAATATATACATATTTTTTTCTAAACGTGTATATCATGTAAATAGACAAATACGCGCTATATTTAGTTAGTTATTTATATAATATATATGTACAGTAGCAATATTTGAAAATATTAGCAGCACATTTTTATGTACATCTGAAAAATATCGAAATATGGAAGCATGTAGTCGTACAATAACTCTATATATCAAACAATTCCTTCAGAATTAGAAATACATTAACATTACTTTATAAATTTACTTTTATATTCGTGTACAAAGGTTTGTTTAGTTAAATAATACAGCTATATCACGCTATAATCTAGCACTAATTTTAGTAAACTTTTGAAAGTCAATTATTTTCATCTTCTTTTACCTCAAATTATTGTCATGGTCAAGAATTCTTTTCTCTTGGTGACTTAAAAGCCCTAAAATCGTATTGGTTATATTTCCTTCTTTATTGATAAATTACAAAAAATTTATTGTAACTTTTCATCTAGAAATATCTAACTATAAGATCTTAACTCTTTATATTGATATTGCAAATACAAGTAAAAAGAAGGACAGTAAAATTTTTCTGTAAGAATATGGGTATATAGATTTTTGCTGATTACACCATCATAATTTCATATATTACTATATTATAATATATATGCATTGTAGGAATATTTAAATAAATTTCACGACGCATTTTTTATTTATAGATAACTGAAATTAAAAGTAAAAACAGAATATGAAGTCGTACTATAATTATATATATGAAACAAATCCTTCTGAATTGAAAATACATATTTGTTCCTTTGTTAATAATTTACTTTTATATATGTATGCAAAGATTTATTTAGTTAAATAATACAGCTATATCATACTTTAATCTAGCACTAATTTTAGTGAAGTTTCAAAAGTAGAATGTAGCTTTTTAAATCAACACAATGAAATACACAAGTTAACAATATTAATGAAGTTAATAAAGAAGATGATTCTTCTGCCTCAAATCATTATCATGATTAAGAATTTTTCTCTGTTGTAACTTAAATGCCCAAAAATCATATTAATAATATTTCTTTCCTTGTTATAATGATATATAATTAAACAAACAAACAATTTGTTGAAAAAAACTAGAGATATCTAGAGATATCTAACTACTAGGAGATCTCTTTATAAAAAAAAGGGCTCCTTATATGGATTTCTGAAAAGCACGTAGAAAGAAAGGTAGTAAAATTTATCTGTAGGAATGGATATGTCGGTTTCTGCTCATTACAGCGTTAAAGTTTGTTGCTTACTGACAAAATAAAATAAATCTTATAAAACATATCAAATAATAAAACAATTGAATAACATGTATTATCTGGTTAAAAATATTTAGAAAGAGGTAGGGAGACCATTTTATATATATTCATACACACAGCATTCACAAACCTAATATCTGAATGGAAATCTTCTTCTATAATATACAATATATACCCCTACATAAGCTCCACAAATATATTGTACAGTATAGACGATAGAACAAAGAGGATGACATATCGTAATCCAGATGATGACTCTCAAGAGGAGTTGAAATATAAAGTATAATAAAAAAATATTAAAAGTTTAATTATTTAACAAGAAGGAACCTACAGCCAGATAAAAATTTTTATTTTATGCAGAAGATATTTAATTTAACAAATCTTGATATAATATAAATAAAAGTATGCGTAAAGAACCTTTTTTAAAGAAACTTTCCTAAACATTTGGTATTTAATTTTTAAAAAAATATATATGACATTCTTAAATACATATATATGAATACATATATATATAATATAGTTTCACTACAAGCTTTAAATTCAGTATATGATTAACTAAAAGAGAAAACCTTGGCAGATTATGAAACTGCAACTATCTTAAAAATAAAAATTTTTTTTACATTTTTTTAAATATGAAAGCAATGGCTAACGCTTATAATCTCATACTTATATATACAAAATTTATCATTTTAAGAAATATTTGATATCCAGTAGTATATTTACCCAAAGATAAGAAATGGAAAGATTAGAAAAATCACGTGCAAAAAAGCATAAGCAATATAACATATGCATATATAATAAAATTTATATTATTAATATTTACATATAATAAAATAAAAAACTTTAAGTATTGACCTGTTAAAGACTTAAATAAAATAATCGCTAAATTTATTGTTTAATAATATTTCGTTTAATAATGCTTAATAGCGAGCAATTATAAATTATTTTAAATATTATAAAAATAAATTAATTCTTAAAATTTTTATAAAAAATTTGAACTGCAAAAATTGTGCAATGTTTATTTAATAATACTACAAGACAAATTGGCACTTTTATTGACAATGAATTTAATAATATCAACGCTGGAGCTTTCGATCAATCTAGATTTATTCCCGATCTGTCTAATTTTGTTGTCCAATCCAACATTTTTAGAGTAATCCAACATGTTTGAAGTAAGTAGCGATTTATATTTTTCATAAATACATATATCGAATCAAATGACACTTTATTTTTCAAGTCATATAAAACCCCTCTAAATTTCATTACAATCTTACTACTCCTAAATTGTTATACCACAGTTTTACCAATCGAAAACGTCATAATAGAATTATCTAACCTAAACAGACGCAATCGCATTAAAACTCTATTAAATAGATGTTACCTGAAAACTTAATAACTGTTGAGGTAACAGTAAGTACTCTCCAAAGTATAGGTTATTACTCTAGTGCTGTAGGATTCAATACCGAAGAATGTTTTGGCTACTGAATAAAACATCTTCAGTATCCCTCAAAAATAAACTCTTCCATGCACAAATGTTTTTAAAAACTCAGAAATAACTTCATTCATTTAAAAAAATTTTAACTAAATCTCAGGTCAAAATATTCATTACTTTGTTCAACCATACCACATGTTGGTTTTCATATCTTCTTTACCACATGAGATAAAATTTCTCTAACAAAATGATCAGGTTTAACTAGTATTTGGTCAGAGCATGTTTTTCTGGATAAACCAGTATAGACCTTTGGCATTCAACTGTGGGGAAAAGCGTCAATATCCAACATTGAAATTTTTCTAATATTTCAGTTTAAAACTTTACGAGAAATGGTAAACGCTCCATGGTATGAAAGTAAAATTCAAATCGATCGTGACCTTAGCCATAAAATGAACAAATACAAATTCATCCCAACAATCTTACTTCAAATTTGATGATACTCTCAATAATTTTTACAAGGTTGAAAAGAAAAACGCCGCTTCAGTTATTATGTTATAATGAAATTATGATTCAAAAAAAAAAAGAGTAGCTCTCCAGAGTTAGAACTACCAAAGTTGTAAATTATCATGCCTAAAATCTTTTATTTTGACTTGATGATACCCTAAGAAAAGAAACGCGCAGTACAGCTCATTCAACGGTTGTATGGAAACCGACTGGAGCAAGAAGAAGGAACGCCCAAAGACAATATGAAGGTGAAGAGTATTCACCGAAACATGATTTAATGGAATGAAAACCCACTGGATCAAGAAAAAGAGCATGTCCAAAAACAACATGGAGGCGAAGAGTATTCACCAAAACATTCAAATGGTTTAACAAGCTTATATACATGCCACGAAATAGAGACTACTGGAAACGTATAAAAATACTGAAATAATTGGGTCTTCTATTAGAAAACGAGCTGTCGTTACTTATGACAACAAATCAGAATACCTTATGCAAGGAAATTTCAATTACCTTGTAATATAGTAATTTGCTATATTCAGACACAATCATTTAATAGAAAATATTTAAAAAAATACACTAATTCATTTTAAATGACTATAAATTTTCATTTCATGATATATCAGTACATATCAAACGCCAATCATATATACTATGTTATTTAACGTCATATACATTATAAAATTATTTACTTGACTGTCTATCCGTCTGTCTCTATAGATGTAGTCTCATATCTTATTTATTTAACAAATGTTTTTCAAGAACTTTGTTAATAGCATTAAACTCCCAGTTTAGCACGAATATTCAACAATTTTAAGAATAAATAAAATTATACAAATGAAAACTAATAATACTGTAAATATTTCAGTATATAAAAATTCCATTTACATTATTTTCAATCATTGAAAAACCAAACAAAGAAATATTTACTTTAGCACTTTTATGACTTTAGCGATGTGTTAAGTGCACAAGAAAATAAAAAAAAAAAGAATTATTTAAGTAACTTTTTTTTTTTTCATTTAATAAGAAATAATATTATTTTAAGATATCATATCTAACACTTCTTCTGATGCTTAAAAAACAACTTCTTAGATACAAGTCAATAGTGCTTATTAAATTAAATATGTACCTAAATATGAAATTAAATAAATATAAATATACCTATATACTCTATACTTTGGTGTAGAGATAAATAGGCTAAAATAAGGACCATTTAGGACCGAAATTCATATACAAATGCCCTAAAGACGACAAATGTTGTAATACAATTAAATAAAATTCAATTTCTAGATTTATTGATATTCCATTTTAGTTATATATATTCCGATAGAATACATAGTGCGGACTGTATTGCAAACATATTTTCAACTAGTTTACTTTACGTAGATATTGTGAACCACTACTCTGTGCCATACAACTTCCAGCCCATTTGGAATAAATGTAATCATTTTTCAAGCGAACATATACGCGATAAATAGATGCGCCAGCTTCAACCTTGAACGTAACTACCGGATCCGTAAAATTGCAATACTGACTGACAGACAGGCAACTATAATGGCACTTATATTATACCAGATGACATCCAAACTCTTATGCAAGTACATTGACAAGCTAAACATACTTGACTGGAACAACCAGGTACACTTAATATGGATTCCAGAACATGCTGGAAGCGAAGGTAATGAAATGTCAGACAAACTCACAAGAAGAGGCGCGTCTACAAAAATGATTAGCCCAGAACCATTTCCAATCCAATTCAGACTGCAGATGCTAAAGAGAAAAGAGAGAAACCGCATAATATGTGCTAGAGAAGTGTCCAGCACTGATGCACAAGCGGAAGAAACACATAGGAGTGTATTTCATGAAACATAAGGATTCAAGACTAGGAAAGATAGACTCTATAGTCTTTCATGAAAGAAATTTTATTTAGAAAAACACTGTTATCAGACTAAGGTACACAATAGATCTTTTAGGTCGCAACGTACTTCTCATTTTTTATAATAATTATAATAATGATTGGACTATAAGAACTATCATTATTTTATCAAAAATGTCGTAGTGAAATTAACATTGTGAATCTTAGTATGGAATTAGTATTGAAATAACCATAGTTCAAGAAAATCTCCATAGTATTATTCAAACTTAAAGCATGTATTAAACTATCTAAAAATATTGATGTGTGTAAAATTTAAATAAAAGTTAAGTAAAATTTGACTTAACTATTTGTTGATATATCACATAAAAATACGTTTTTATTTTATTATTTATAAATATTAAAATATTTTTGAATAGCATATTAAATTTTATTATATATAAAATTTAAGAACCTGGTTGTTTTATATATAAAATATGATATAAATACATGATATATGATATTTTATATAAAAGTGTTTTTTTAGTTTACTAGCTTAATGGTTTATTTTTGACATATATAACTAATTTGTATATATAACATATATGTATATAACATACTTATACATATATTTATATACACAAATATACATGTATTACTTATATATAATATAAGTAATTTTTTATATTCATATATTCATATTGTACATTATATGAGAAAATTAAAATAAACGTAATATATATATATTATTATTATTTACCTGATAAGATGAAACTTGCAATAAATGCCATTATCGCCATGTAATAAAGTATCATTGCCATTTTAAATTGAGCTTATTTTTCTTCTTTATTTATAACGAAGGCAATAATTATATTATATTTAATTGTTAACTATTTACTCCTTTTAAATGGAATTATTTTAAACCATTTATTAATTTTATTTTCTTATATAAAATTTAATTTAATACTTTTTGTTTCACTTTTATTATAATAAAATCACTTGATTCTTTTATTATTTTTCTTGTTGAGGAATTGACGTTGCATGAATGATGTGGAATTCTATAAAGAAAAAATTTTTTTTATATATAATAATATGTATATGTTATATAAAAATTTTTAAATATATCAAAGAAAAGTTTTTTTTATGAATTAAAAATATTTATTGCATAAGTAAATCTATATATAAATTCGAGTATATGTAATTTTTTAAGCTTATCATAGAAAGCCTGGTATTTATTATATAAATTTGTAATTATTCATTATTTTCTTTAGCAACATTTTAGCTATGTTACAGACTTGACCTTAATAATCATAATAAAAATTAATATTTTATTTTATTATTTAACTAAATAATATTTTTATTAACTAACTTCAAGTTCTTAGTTTTAATATTATCAGTTGCAAGATAAGATTAGTTTGAAAAAAAATCTTAAGATCAAATTATAACCATTATAAATTTTATTTTGTGTATTATGTACGTACAGTAAAAGATTTTTACATATACAAAAAAAAAAACACAAAGCTCTCACTTTCACATATGTTCCTATAAAATTATAAATTTATTTAATAGTTACAAATGCACCACAATCTTTTAGATATGTAAAAAAAAAATTAAGATTAAATTTCCTTTGAAATTCAGTAGAAACGTATACAATACTAAATTCTAAAATAAATACTAAATAAACACTAAATTGCTCGATTCCGTGATGGTTGTGAGAATCTTGGATTAACCAAAATTGTGCCAATTGGCAAAGAGGCACAAGAGGCTTGTAAATATTTTTTTATGATTTATTTTCAGTAGGTGAGCTATAGATGATATTATCTCTGACCAAAACTAAGTTATCGCTATTGAAGATTGGCATTCCAATAAAAATGACCAACTTAATTATACTAATACTCTAAAACACAACAAGTCATGTATTCGTTCAAGGTAAACTAACAGATTTGTTCAGTGTTCAGGGCTAATGCAGTCTCTTTTCTCTTGCTGACCGATTACGATTAGCAAAACAACCACTTGTAAGAAACCTAATTGGATCCCAAAGAAGAGGCAGTCCTAGTAAGAGGTGACTGGTTGATGCTTAAGAAGACTTAATGAAGCTACGCGCGAGCGATTAGAAAAACTTTGCAACGGATCGAGTCAGATGGCAAAAATTGGTTGAGGAAGCACTGGTCCACCCAGGACTGTTATGATAAGAAAAAAATATATTGTATGGTATAAATAAATTTTTTTTGTCAAACTGAATTTTAGATGATTATATCACATTCTCAAATGTATTGCTTTGAGAATAGTTATTTGCAATTTAACTTTTTTGTTTGAAATAATTACAGAACTTGTGTTAACGATTGTATATATCCTACATTTCTTTTTCTTAAACTAAATTATATACGAGTATATAGTGTTACTATTAACGATTTATTGAAACAAAAAATTTTTTTTTATAAAACTTTCATTTAAATGAATTCATTGGCAAATAATCGCATGTGGTAGGCAAAAATATTATAAATAATATATATACTTAAAATAAATCAAAATAAATCAAAAGTAAATAATTGTATTCTTCACTTCGCACCCCTTTGATAACGCAATCGAATTATGTGATTCACATTTTTATAGAAGATATCTCACGACTACAGGGTCAAGGTTTGAAGAACAGCCACTCAATTGCATTCGCACACAATGCAATTCGTTCATGCAATTTTGAATTAAATTTTTCTTTGATTAATGCACCGAATGTTTAAATTAATCAATGTTATAAAATACATAGAAAAAAATATATATGGATATAGGTATGTTTACTTACAAGTAACTATATATATTTGCATATAAATACAGATCTATCTGATATAGTGAAAAATTGAAATGTGCAGCTGAGCGTCAATGAACTGCCGAATTATTTTATATATCGTCGAAATACAAAAAGTATTTTATGTATGAAAAAGTATCGAGAAATGTTGTAATTTACTTGTTTTTTATTGCTTATTTTGAAACACATATATATTACATATTTCTTAAATATTTATACCGAAATTTATTTCACTCTGATATTGCATGCTATGTTTATTTTTGTAGATTTGTCGATAGTGACATGTTTAGAATTGCTTCTGAGGACAACTTTGAAATGGCACGTATTGTTTGATTACGAGTATTTGAAAGTCTTATGATAAGTAATATACATATTCTTAATAATAAAAATTTTATTTTATAAAATCTGTTTTTTGATAAAAATGTGAATATTAAATATTACAACGACTTTCTGTTTTGGCAGAGATTAATTGTTACTGAAAAAAACTTTTTAGTTCTTAACTAATACTAAAAGCGACAATCTAAAAATGCATACTGTAGAATAAGTCTTACCGGAATATTTAAATAAAGCGCAAAAACATCATCAATCAATCGAATTTTTACTTGAAGCTAGTCTAAAAAGTAGTCCCCATAATGTCCAGCACAACTATACAACTGCTTCAAACAATCAGTCGCACTTTTTTGAATGCGAAAAGGCTTAGAACTATTTTAGTAAATTATCTTTTATAGCAGCAATTGACCCACAACCTCTTCCATTTGGTAATAATTTTAGTTTCGGAAACATGCGGTTAAAATAAGTAATAGTGGAAATTTTTCAAGTTTTCTAGCAAAAAGTTTTATTGCACAAAGGAACTCTAGCCATTCTTAGGAACAGCACAGAGGAAAAAGAAAGAGAACTCTATTGGGTAAGGCTAATACGACTATGACAATCTAAAATGCTTTTAGGAACATATTGTCTTTCATTAAAAAAATCGGACTTGAACAACCGCTTTAATACCACTAAGAGGCTTAATAGATCTTTTATATTGCAGTACACGATCCTTTCTTTTCAGTAATAAAATTAATAGCAGAACACATAAGTACTATTGCGAAAAAAACTGAACACAGCAAGTAAATTTGTTAATGAATTTTTACAGCTAATGAACAAAACTCCAAGTGCGAACATATAATTCAAATACGACTTTGGATCAGTTGACTAATAAACACTGACTCTAAGCTTCAAATGTTGCAGGGTTTGGTATGTACCAAGGGTTTCCTATAGTTATACATAGTTTCCTGTAGTACATAGTTTTTGCATGAGCATTGTTGTTTGTTTTATTCTCATATACTCCTGAACTTAACTGAAAATTACTCAGTGACAAAAAAAGTAACAAGACTCCAATGAAATTTGATTAAATTATTTGAGTAGTAATAGTAGAAATTTCCTTTAAAACATTTGAGAAATAATTGAACGGATGCCAGTTATATACAAACAATTACAAATATAAAACCAATATAAGACAATTTGAAAAGTATTCATATTGTTGACAGATACTATATACTGTCAAATCTTTACAACATGAATATAGACCGTAAAAAGATATTACCAAAATCAAAAAAATGCTTCCTCGAGATGTTTTAAATAATAAAGTAAGGCTAAAGAAAAACAAAACAAATGAAAATAATGGACTTATTACAGATCTCATTAAACTACTATATATGTATAAATGCCCTGATCTATAGATAAGGGCAACTATATAAATCAATGCAAGGACGACTATTGTAAATACCATATATATACATATATTATTAGTATTATTTATTATTTAATATTACTGCTATATATTAAAAACAAAAAATATGCCACCATTCTACTAGCAAAGAAAGATAGAAGTTAAAAATTTATTAGAGAAGTAAAAGTGGATTTAATATATCATCTATTAATAGATATAATAGATGATTTGCTTGGTTTAAACAAAACTTAGAAAAACACACTTTTTTCTTCTGTTTATTGATTTTACATAAGCACAAGATTTTTTAATTTATAATTACAATTAAATTAAACACATTAGTACATAAAATCTAAAAAATTTATAACATTGATAGCAGTATAATAGTGCAACCCCTAGTAGTTCAGGTATAAATTTAATTTTATTTATACATAAATTTTATTTTAATATTTTTTTTACAGCTTCTCCTTGCAAACTGCATTGAGATTTTATGACTTCATTAAATAGTATTATTTTGTACTTATATTACTAATTCATATAAATACATACAGATATATAATACTAAACGTGCATGTTTGATTTATTAGAAAAGACTATCTCTATTATTATTGCTTTATTTAAGATTTGTTATTTTTAAAATTTATTTCAATTTTTTTATTATAAGAAATTAATAACAACCTACCTAAAAATGTACTATATTTAAATATTTGAATATTTATAATTCATTATAAGAAGTTTTTATTTCAGAATGTTTTTAGAAAAATTCTTAATGTTATTAAAAATTTATATATATTAATTATTAAGTTTTAAACTTAAATAAGCTATTTTAGTTTCTATCTTTATTATTATTGCTTTATTTAAGATTTGTTATTTTAAAAACATATTTTCATTTTTTATTGTAATAAATTAATAACTACAATTTAACGATATATCTAAAAATGTAATATATTTAAATAAATTTAAAATAATTAAATAATTATAAATTATAATAAAAACCTTTTATTTCAGAATGTTTTTAAAAAATTTCTTAATATTATTTATAATTTATATAAGTAAAAAATTAAGTTTGAATATTTTTTTATTACGCTTTTTAATTTCCATTTATATATGTTTATATTGTAATATATAAATATTTTTTTATTTTTTATTTAAAAAATTTTTATTTTTATAAAACTCGTTTTTTTTTATTATTTTTCATTAATAAGTCACTTGGGGGCGATTCCATCGGTCTGATGATAATCTTATGGAATATTACTGTTGTAAAAGATAAGCTACAGCCCATATTTGGCAAAGAGAGATGTGCTATTATGAAGAGAAAATGTGAAAATAACCTTTTGTTTTGAAAAAGAATAAAATAATGATCATTTATAGAACGATTTCAATTTATTGAATTTTATTTAATATTTTGTTATCAAAAAAAATAAAAATACAACCAAAAAATTGGGTAATGGAAAAAATGCAATGAAGCAAACTATCAGTAAAAATATAAAAGACTATAAAATAAAAGTTTAGAAGTTAAATGAATTCGGTTAGCAATAAATAGCGGA